AGTATATAACTAGACTAATTAGGTTCTAGATTTATACAGTACTAATTAATCTTTTTAGTGTCTAGCCTTTAAAGCTAATATTTGTTTAGCTAGGTGTCTAATTAATTTCTATACATAAGTTCTTTTATATATACACCTTAAGTTAGAACTTGCTAATAGTAAAGATTTTTACTACGCCTGTGTTTTATAGTTTGCCTTAGTATACTATATAGTATTAGTTGTTAAGAATAAACTGCTTAGCATATTTCTTAGGTTTAATGCTGTAGATGTCCTCTTCTGTTGCACAGTGTAGATAAGTAGCAGAGGTAAAGTAGTTAACAGCTTTTTTAGCATTCTTACTTTTTTATTTTATTTTTTTTACATTATGTAAATTATTTTTTTTTTAAGGTAACTTTTAAAGTCTTAGATGTATAAAGTAATAGCTTTATATAATAAAGTCTTATTATAGAAATTTTTATATAAGGCAACATACTAGTTCTTTGCTTATGTATAGTTATTATAAGGGTAGTTTAATAACTAATATTTTTTTTATAGTAAATAAAGCACTTTTTTATCTACATGCAGTTGTCTTTAAATTGTGGCCTAAACCTAGATAAAGATCTTCTATGTTATCTTTTTCTACACAAAGAGAAGCTTTCTTCTTGTTATATAAACTTTTATTATGTAGAGTTATATTAGTAGTCTATGTAGTATGCATTAGGCAGTTCTTAGAGGTATTAGTTTACTCTTTAGTCTATAGTAACTTAGAGTAATGCCTGTAGGTTGCTAAATAAGGCTTTGCATAAGAGCTTAATAGTAAATATAGCATGTTCTAGTTTTAGTTATTCTTAATAGGCTTATATAATAGCAGTGTGCAGTAAAACATCTTTTTAAAATTTTATTTTTAGTGCTTTTTATATATGTGTAAGCTTATTAATTATTATTTTAAAAGCTTTATATAAACTTTTATTAAAGTTTTTTTATTAGTATTATGTAAAAGTTATTATTATCTAGTCTGTCTAGTACTAGCTATAGTTTATATTAGTGTTAAAGTAACTGCTTAAGGTGTTGTATAAATGCTTCTAGTTATGTCTAGGGCCTATATTATATATATAGTACATATTTACCTAACTTTTTAGGATATCTAGAAAGATGTCTGTGTACTAAGTTTCTTAAATATCTAGCTGTTAACATAAATTAATAAAAATCTTTATTTTATTTATAAAAATATTATATAGTTAACTTATATAGTTATTATTTTTTTTTTATGCTTTTTAAAATTATATAATTTTATCTACTAGAAGTTTTTCTTTAGCAGTTTCTCTCTAGGGTGGAAGTTTGTACAGGCTGTGATGTAGTATGGATTGTGCAGGTGGTATTAGTGGTGCATACACTACTGCAGGCGGTGGTGTGTACGATTAAGGGTGTGGAGCAGGCGTTAGGTAGGGTGGCATGTATTGTTTGTACAGTAATTAGTGTAGTGCTAGCTAAAGTGTAGGAGCAGGTAATGCTAGTACATTTAGTGTTAATAGCAGCATTATGTTTAGTCTGCTTCTGTGCAGAGCTTTATATAGTAATAGGGGTTATGTATAAAGCTTTTCTAGTGCAATTGCTTTTTCTTATGCTATATTATACAGCTTCTAGGCTTAGGTACCTTTAGTGCCTAGCTATAGTGTAATTTCTTTATCCTCTAGCACTTATATAAGCTCCCTTTTAAACACACAGCTAAGTGCTAAGAAGTCTTATAGTGTCTATCCTTTAAAATCCTCTATGTACGCACTTAAAAGAGTAGCGCCTTTTTAAGTTATTATATGTAGATTAGTAATTATGTAACTTATGTATAATTAAGTCTGTAGGCTTATTAGAGCCTTTAACATGTTAATTTTATTATTCTAGTACTCTAGGCTAGTCTTGTTCTATAGTATTGCTTCTAATATCTCTATGTTCTTTGTAAGTTATTTATATAATAAAAATTATTTCTTATTTTTTTTATTATTACATAGAGTTGTTAGTTACTAGTAGGATTCTATTATAATAGTATAGTTAATTGCTTTTCTAGTAGATTGCGCAGGTACTGCTGTTATCTAGCTGCTAGGTTGTGCAGCTTTAATAGCTTTAGTGTGCGCCTTACACTATCTCCTCTTTACTTTGTACAGTAGCAGAGCTTGCTGTGCAATGTAAAGGATTAATGTGCTATTGTCTAGCTACTAGGTTGTGCAGCTTTAGTAGCTTTAGTGTGCGTCTTACACTATCTCCTTTTTACTTTGTACAGTAGTAGGGCTTACTGTATAATGCAAAGGATTAATCTGCTATTCTAAAAAATAAGTAATAAAATAAAGTACCTTATAAAGTATAAGTACTCTGCTATTACTCTTTCTAAAGGATAGGTAATAAAACAAAGTACTTTATAAAGTGTAGGTACTTTATTATTACTTTTACTAATTTATAGTTAATTAAATTAACTACTAATTAGTATTAAATAGGCTCTAACAGCTAGCTGCTTATAGTATAAGCACTTAAGTAGTAAGAGTAAGAGTAGTGTATAGTGTGCATAGTGTACAAGGTAGGTAAGGTAAGGGCAACATGTTTCTAGTTCTATTACTCTTGTCTTTCCTCTGTACAGAGGAAAAGGGGGATATCTAGATGTTCGCGCACAGAGGTTCGCGCACAAGCATCATGTGACATAGATACGTGATCCTGCTCGTGCGCGATCGCTCGTATCCAGACTGTGACGCTGCTGCTGCGTACAGACACATATAGTATATATTTACATAACCTTTTAAAATATTTAGAAAAATGTTTATATACTAAGTTTTCTAGATATCTAGCTATTAATATAAATTAATAAAAATCTTTATTTTATTTATAAAAGTGTTATATAGTTAACTTATATAGTTATTATTTTTTTTTATACTTTTTAAAATTATATAATTTTATTTACTAAAAGTTTTTCTTTAGTAGTTTCTTTTTAAAGTAGAAGTTTATATAGGTTATAATGTAGTATAGATTATACAGGTAGTATTAGTAGTGCATACACTACTGTAGGCAGTAGTGTGTACAATTAAGAGTGTAGGGCAGGCGTTAGGTAGAGTGGCATGTATTGTTTATATAGTAATTAGTGTAGTGCTAGCTAAAGTATAGAAGCAAGTAATGCTAGTACATTTAGTGTTATTAGCAGCATTATATTTAGTTTACTTCTATGTAGAGCCTTATATAGTAATAAAAGTTATATATAAAGCCTTTTTAGTGTAATTGCTTTTTTTTATGCTATATTATATAGCTTTTAGGCTTAAGTACTTTTATTACTTAGCTATAGTGTAATTTTTTTATTTTTTAGCACTTATATAAGCTCTCTTTTAAATATATAGCTAAGTGCTAAAAAGTCTTATAGTATCTATTTTTTAAAATCTTTTATATATAAACTTAAAAAAGTAGCGCCTTTTTAAGTTATTATATGTAAATTAGTAATTATATAACCTATATATAATTAAGTTTATAGGCTTATTAAAGCTTTTAATATATTACTCTTATTATTCTAGTACTCTAGGCTAGTCTTATTTTATAGTGTTGCTTTTTAATATTTTTATATTTTTATAAGTTATTTATATAATAAAAATTATTTCTTATTCTTTTTATTATTACATAAAGTTGTTAGTTGCTAGTAGAATTTTATTATAATAGTATAGTTAATTACTTTTCTAGTAGATTATGCAGGTACTGCTGTTGTCTAGCTGCTAGGTTATGCAGCTTTAATAGCTTTAGTGTGCACTTTACACTATCTTCTTCTTACTTTGTACAGTAACAGAGCTTACTGTATAATATAAAGAATTAATCTGCTATTATCTAGCTACTAGGTTATACAGCTTTAATAGCTTTAGTGTGCGTCTTATACTATCTCCTTTTTACTTTATATAGTAGTAAAGCTTACTATATAATATAAAAAATTAATCTACTATTCTAAGAAATAAGTAACTAAATAAAGTACCTTATAAAGTGTAAGTGCTCTGTTATTACTCTTTTTAAGAGATAAGTAATAAAATAAAGTACTTTATAAAGTATAAGTACTTTATTATTACTTTTACTAATTTATAGGTAATTAAATTAACTACTAATTAGTGTTAAATAAGCTCTAATAGCTAGCTGCTTATAGTATAAGCGCTTAAGTAGTAAGAGTAAGAGTAGTGTACAGTGTGCACAGCGTATAAGGTAAGTAAAGTAAGGGTAACATGTTTCTAGTTCTATTACTCTTGTCTTTCCTTTATATAAAGGAAAAGAGGGATATCTAGATGTTTGTGCATAAAGGTTCACGCACAAGCATCATGTGACATAGATACGTGATCCTGCTCGTGCGCGATCGCTTGTATCCAGGCCGCGACGCTGCTGCTGCGTACAGACAGTTACTAAATTTTTTAAAGAAAAGGTTAAAAAAAAGCGTATGTTTAAAATTTAATTTAGATTTTATATAACTAAAATGTACAGTAGATATTTATTTAAATATAAACTTAATAATATACCTGTTAATAAAAAATATAGTTTAGTTTTTTATAGCTTACTATTTAGTAATTTATTTTATAAAATCATAGACTACAAGCTTTATAAATTGTAAACATTATATAAAGCTTATAAAGATGTTAAAGAACCTTTATCTTTTATATATTATTAAAGAGTTGGTGTAAGTGTTTATATTTCTTTACATAAGTGCTCTACGCTCTACAGTAGCGCTTTAATAATGTAGAGTAACAACAACTATATTATCTTACTATAAGACTATAATTAGGTTTTTCTCTAAGGTTTTAGAATATATACAACGCTAGCGCGGCCTTAACTAGGTCTATACTAGTAGAGAAAACTCTAGTTTAAAAGTTAATAGATTTTAGTTAAGTGTGCGTTACATAGGGCTATGCGTCAAGCGATTAAACAGGGTAATTGCTGTAACATATTACAAATAAGTGTGCCCTAATTTTAAACATTATGTACTCTAATGCAACAATGCTTATTAAAGTGGACGTGAAGTACTATGTTTAAGACGAGAAGGCTGCGCTATTGTCAAGCAGCAGCTTTACAATTTGCTCGCGGCCTCTGGATGAAGCTGCCTGTAGTGCGTTGCCGTATACTCCACCCTGCGCGTTGACATCGGCGCCCTTGTCAAGCAACAGCTTCACAATCTGCTCATGGCCTCCTTCTGAAGCTGCCTGGAGTGAGTTGCCGTATACTCCACCCTGCGCGTTGACATTGGCGCCCTTGTCAAGCAGCAGCTTCACAAT